AAGCAGCCACATACCCACAAACAAACACACACACGTGCATTTACGTCGCGATATAAGTGCAATAACCTTTAACGCGACGTTCAACCCCATTTCACCTCATCTCACTTACAGAGTCCGCGGTGGAGTGGAAAGAGCATCTGATCGGAGAAAGGACGGTGGTTCGGTCTACTGGCGCGTCATACCTAAAGGCGTTAAAACATGGAACTTACTAGTTACTAACCTTTAACTTAAGGTTCAAGTTTGATGCAAAGCACCTACTCAAGAAACCCCAAGGTTGAGGTTAGGAACCATATTTTACGACCTTCATTTTAAGAAACCTTCACGTTCCATCTGTTTGCACGTGCAAATGAATGCCAGGGCACGTGCAGCTTCTTTTGCATGGCAGGTACGTGATTCACGGAAATGAACGCCTGTGACAACAAACAGAGCTATTGTGTAATTGCCGTTACCCTTCCTGGCGTTCGCTATTCAGGGGTTCAAATAAGGTCTGGTCGGGTCAGAGTCCGGAGCTTAAGTCCGGACGAGGACGAGTAGCGATACATGCACGTCGTTATAAGACCGGACGAGTACGAGTTGCGATACATGCACGTCGCTATAAATGCCGGACGAGTACGAGTAGCGATACATGCACGTCGCTATAAATGCCGGACGAGTACGATCAGCGATACATGCACGTCGTTTTAAGACCGGACGAGTACGAGTAGCGATACATGCACGTCGCTATAAATGCCGGACGAGTACGATCAGCGATACATGCACGTCGTTATAAATGCCGGACGAGTACGATCAGCGATACATGCACGTCGTTATAAATGCCGGACGAGTACGATCAGCGATACATGCACGTCGTTATAAATGCCGGACGAGTACGAGTAGCGATACATGCACGTCGCTATAAATGCCGGACGAGTACGATCAGCGATACATGCACGTCGTTATAAATGCCGGACGAGTACGATCAGCGATACATGCACGTCGTTATAAATGCCGGACGAGTACGAGTAGCGATACATGCACGTCGCTATAAATGCCGGACGAGTACGATCAGCGATACATGCACGTCGTTATAAATGCCGGACGAGTACGATCAGCGATACATGCACGTCGTTATAAATGCCGGACGAGTACGAGTAGCGATACATGCACGTCGCTATAAATGCCGGACGAGTATGAGTTGCGATACCTGCACGTCGTTATAAATGCCGGACGAGTACGATCAGCGATACATGCACGTCGTTAAAAATGGAATAGTCTTGACCGCGGCGACGTTAAACCGCATTTTCTCCTCACCTCATAACGGCTTCAACTCGTCTCAGAGATGGTCTCTCATACCCGTGAAGATCCAGGTAGAGAATAGGTCTTCAGCAACCCATGCTTGTCGTAAAAGGCGACTATACTTGTCATAAAAGGCGACTAACGGGATCGGATGGTCAGCTAGCTGACTTGGTTGATGCATGTCATCGTATCCCAATTGCATGGATCGATGCTAATGATGTCAGTCACTGGATTGCTTGGTCCAGACTCGATTATTTACAGACCTCCGTCATATTGATGGAATATTGCTGAGTGTGGTGTTAAAAACAATCAAACAAATCAAAGAAGTTTCCTAAATGAATTACATAGTTAAGTGTTTCTTTTTTAAGATGTCCATGTTTTTGTAGTGTGCCTGACCATGAAGGGAAATAGTACGGTTGTCAGTGATCACGAATACATCACTTATCGATGTTCCGTTGGGCCAATGTACCTTTAAGATCTTAATTAAACCTCTGTACCATTACTTTGGCAGACAGAATCTCTCACCTATGTGACTTAAAAAAGAAATTGACATGTTGCTGTGGTAACGTCATAACACGTCTTTACGACATTCGTCAGAGGTAGCGCAAATTAGAGCCATCTGTCGGAAGTGGGTCTTCCTCCTTCCTCCTTGAATGATGCTTTTATTCAGGTAATGAGGCCACCGGCCCATTATACACGTGCAGAGCATGATGGCATACAAATGTGACAGAGCGCTGAATTATAAGATTTACAATGCAGTGTTCAAACTGTTAATATTGGGGTTAATTATATGACACAGGTATTCCCTTGAAAATGGAATTACGTTTCTTACCAGCAAGAAATATATATTTTGCTAAATTGTTGCAAATACTTTGATTAGTAGAGCTGAATAATAAGAACATTTTCTCACGACTTGGAAACATGTGATAATAATTGGGTATGAGATTAGACCGCAGATCAAGATAGAACGGACACACCATACAAAAGTGGAACTCATCTTCGATAGCACTTACAACACAGAGGGGACAGAAACGTTCATGTCTTGGTATATTATGATATCTGCCTGTTTCAACCATAAGACGATGATTGGATCCGAGAAAATTCAAGATATTAATTCGAAATAATGTTACATCAATTAATCGAATCCAGTTATTATATGAAAATTTATCCCTTACTGCAGAGAACAATTCAAGCTTAGAGTGAGTGAGTGAGTGAGTATGATTTTACGCCGCTTTTAGCAATATTCGAGCAATATCACGGCGGGGGACACCAGAAATGGGCTTCACACATTGTACCCATGTCGGGAATCGAACCCGGGTCTTCGGCGTGACGAGCGAACGCTTTAACCACTAGGCTACCCGACCGCCCTCAAGCTTAGAACAAGATTCACAATTATTGTGCAACACTTGATTTTCAATGTCTACGCTCCTTTGCCTAAACTGATGTAAGAATAAGTCAGATCTACCAACACCCTGTTGTAGCCATACCTCTGCAAATCCGTAAGAAAACAGCAATGATTTAACCTTGAGTGCCCAGCAAGCGTTGCCATTCTCTGCCCTTTTATATTGAAAACTATATGTTTTTTTCAAAATCAAATTATTATCTTGTATCAATAGTCGAAGCCAAAATTTTATAATTTTTAAATAATGTGACACTTTGACGGAGTTTCTCATCAAGACAGATTTTACAAAGCTATTTGGTGTGTTTCTACTCAAACCCAAAGTCAATTTACAGAATTTACTGTGCACATTTTCAATGTCAGGTGATGCATGGAATCCCCAAACTTCCGATGCATATGTCAAAATTGGTAACACTTTTACATCAAAAATTTTGAAACAGACATCTGGTGGCAGATATGAGAATTTACCTAGTCTAGACTGGAGGATTTGAATCATCTTCTGGGCTAATGTCTTCTGAGTTAAACTCCACGAGCCAGAAGAGGATAACTGGACACCGAGATACTTATAATTCGATACTGTGGTGACATCATCATTTCCTATCCTAAATTTTTCCTGATTTCTAAGTTTTCCTGATTTCTAAAAATGACAACTTTACTTTTATCAGTATTAATAGTAAGTTTCCATTTATCACAATATAAAGATAGTTTATCAAGTCGCTTTTGAAGACCAACAACTGACACGTCCATTAAAATAATGTCATCGGCGAACAACAAGATGAACAGTTCTAGAGTATGTAAGGTAACACCATGAGCATCACACTCCAACTCCTCGACAATGTCATTAATAAAAAATGAGAATAAAAATGGAGACAGCTGACATCCCTGTCTAACACCTGACATACAATCAAAGAAATCTGTAAGACCACAATCTAATGAAACACAAGATTTGACAGATTTATACATATTTTTAAGAACTCTAAATACTCGTCCCTTGATACCACCCTTCCATAGTTTGAAAAATAAACCATTTCTATACACAGAATCAAATGCCCCTTTTAGATCGATGAAAGCACAGTATAGTCGACCTTTTTTGTAGGAAAGATATTTACTGATCAATGTCTCAACAACAAAGATGTTATCCGTGGTCCTCCTTGATTGCACGTATTCGTCTTACATCGTGATGTGATTCAGTCACATGTCGGCACTGACACCCTGGGGCGGAGTCCATTTATGTCAGGAGGGTTGGTTGGTTGGTTTGTAGTTTAACGCCGCACTCAGCAATATTCCAGCTATATGACGGCGGTCTGTAAATAATCGAGTCTGGACCAGACAATCCAGTGATTAATATCATGAGCCTCGATCCACGCAATTGGGATCGATGACATGCATCAACCAAGTCAGCGAGCCTGACCACCCGATCCCGTTAGTCGCCTTTTACGACAAGCATAGTCACCCTTTACGGCAAGCATGGGTTACAACGGAATCTATGTCGGGAGGGACGACTGTAACAACCTTGTGGTTCTTGGCGCAGCTGAGATTGCAGATCAGTAGTGGATGAAGATGATGTAAAATCCGAACTTTATCCCTTTTTTTACTTCTTTGAGAGGCATTTAGAAGTTGGAATACTAAGTAAGGATAAGATATAAGGATGAACAACTTCTTTATTACAATTAGGAGCGACGTTTAGGTGTAGGCTCTAACACCGTTATCAAGCTGCAAGCTCCCTCATCTTGGTTTACTTCCCCCATATCCTTAGTTATCCCTAATGACCCCAATGGTTTTGGCTCGACATGCAGCGTTTCAGTGAACGAGTGAGTGAATTTGTTTTAACTCCGCAATGAACAGTATTCCAGTTATATCACGGCGTGTCAGCATAATGTGGGAGGAAAGCCCGAAGTGAGGCAGGTCTGAAATGTTTACCACGTTGGTGAAACCCACGAGATCGGTATACTGTTGACAAACTTACGCACATAATCAGGGCGATCACTGGTTTCTTGCACAGATGAGGGGACCCGTGAAGATCCGGGATAGAATAGGTCTTCATCAGCAACCCATGCTTGCCATAAAGGCGACTATGCTTGTTGTGAGAGGCGACTAACTGGATCGGGTGGTCAGGCTCGCTGACTTTGTTGATGCATGTCATCTCATCCCAATTGCGTGGATCGATGCTCATGATGTCAATCACTGGACTGTCTGGTCCAGACTCGATCACTTACCGACCGCCGTCATATAGCTGGAATATTGCGGACTGGGGCGTTAAACAACAAACAAACAAACAAACAAAAGCACAGCTGCGGGACGCGGCTCTGCACTGCGAATGGCCAACATTCCTCAGTTATGCCCCTTTACTACTTCGCCAATAGATGGCGCCAAACGCTACGGTCCTGCGCGTACTTCCGGTATATTACGCGGTTCATAGATATTTGCACGACCAACAACTACAACGAAGTATTTACGATGCCTTCGACGTGCTGCTGTGTCCCGGGATGCTGCAATCGAGGTGGTTTGTCGTTTCCGAGAGAACCCATGTTGCTGAAACGATGGTTGATAGCTATTCGGAGGAGCGACGAATCAAACCAAGGCAAGATGTGGAAACCGTCACCTCACAGTGTTGTGTGTCATTCCCACTTCAGACCGTCTGATTTCATTGCTGTAACTAGTTATGGTAAGATATTTGTGTACCTTGTTATGTTTCTATTCGTTGGCAGATTTAATTAACGTGCATGCCAATTATATTTGTTATATTTTCTTGCATTGAAATTACGAAGAGGGTTTTACGTGACTCAGAAATGTGTATCCAGTATGCAGAAATGTGAAGAATGGACGCAGACAAAATAGAATTTGTTCCGTCCCGCGGGACGCACTTATTTTCACAGATAGTTTGATTTTGTCATTGAGTTAAATTGAGTAAAGATTCTTAAAACTTCGAAGTGTGTGATTTTTTTCACAATAATTTTAGTTCCCTCCTGTCAGAGTAGGCAAGTAAATTTTAGTATTGGCTAATTCTAATGTAATCATGTTTTGTGTGTGTTTGCATGTGAACCTATGAGTATATTTCATTGTTTTTTTAAAACCAAGATAGAAATAATGTGTCATTTAGGCCTTACTATAGTAGCCATTTTTTTGCCAGTCAGTGATCATGGTTATGTTTAGGTTTGACCCTCATATATTTCATGCAAGGGCCTTTGAAATCAATTACTGGGGGTCTAGTGCATACCCAGTTAATTAAGGTAAAACCCTGTTTACCACCATTATATTCCTGTTTATGAAGTTGTTGATGTTTGACCATAACCCTTCTTAGCTTTCTTCTTTAATTTGTTGAATTGATGATTACCAGGAATGTCAACACATATTTGACGTTTTTGCCTTTAATGTGTCATGTTACATTTTCCTGCAGGTGCTTGTTTTCCACAGAGATGAGGCACAGATGATTCAAGAATACAGGTTCATGTTTGTTCACTTTTGATATGTATTTGTCAGAATAGTGTCATGTGTACGTGTTGAACTTATAGACACTTCTCTGTATCAGGCATTAGATGTATGTAATGTTGAGACTATATCTACGAAAATTGTCAGCTAATTTATATCATAATTTTCCTTAATTTAAATGTTTGTTTACTTTTCTAATGTATTGATGTGTATCACTATTATGTTCATAATGTGACAAAACATATCGTGCCAATAGAAATTTTTTATTTCCCTGCAAATTAACTTAAATCTAATCATAAAAAGCTATCTCACAACTGGTAGTAAAAAGATTGCACAATATCTGTTTGGAAAATAATAATCTACTACTGTTTTCCCCAGGGTGTACACCTCTGAGGAAACAGAGAAAACCAGATGCTGTACCATCAATCTTTCCCTGGACTGCATCAGCCAACGCACTTGAGGCCGATGGAGGATTAAGGAAATCCCGCATTGAAAGACGTGAGAGCCAAAAGAGGACATTTAAAGCAATGGATACAGATTGTTATATTGAATGTGATCTCAGTGAGGTAGCTGGGGAGGAAATAATTGACAATGTTGAGTTTGATGACATGAATACCGACTTAAACATTTGTTCTGCAGATAGTGCAGAGGTTGAATATGAAAGTACATCAGCTCAGACAGACAAATTTCCAATGCTTTCATTACAAAGTATTATGTTTAATGCTGCAGCAATTTTGTTTTATACAGGACTGTCAAACTATACAGACTTCACCTTTGTACTTGCAAGTTTGGGTCCTTGTGCATATCACCTAAATTATTTGTACAGCAAAGTTGACAGTATGACTATCAGTGTGGAAAATCAATTGCTTTTAACACTTATGAAACTGCGCCGACATAAGACTAACTTTGAACTTGGTCTTCATTTTGGAATTTCAGAGAAAACTGTATTAAATGTATGGATCACCTGGGTAAATTTTATGTATAGACAGTGGAGTGAGCTTGATAACTGGCCAGAACGAGACTTAGTGCACTATTTTTGTCCTTCTGATTTCAAATCCAAATTTCCATCCACACGAATTATCATTGATGGTACTGAATGCCCTATCCAGAAACCAAAACGTCCCATAGCTCAGCAGTCTACATACTCAACGTATAAAAATCGAAATACTATCAAAATACTTGTTGGATCCACACCAGGTGGTCTTGTGTCGTATGTGTCTCCTGCGTATGGTGGCTCCACAAGTGATCGTCAAATAGTAGAGCGTAGTGGTTTGACAGTGATGTGTGACCCAGGAGATAGTATTATGGCCGATAAAGGTTTCAACGTACAAGATATTTTTGCACCAAAAGATGTTACCATTAATATGCCAACATTCTTCTCAAAGAAAAACCGTATGTCTGGCAAGACTGTTATGCGTGATAGGAAAATATCAAGCAAAAGAGTTCACATTGAACGTATTATTGGTCTGGCAAAAACATTCAAAATACTCACTGAACCTCTTAACAGTTCAGAAACCAAATTAGCCACAGAAATAACCACGGTTTGCTTCATGCTTTGTTCTTTCAAAAAGTGCATTGTTCCCACTACTTGCTAATCATTAAAAATATCTTTGATTCCAGGCGGACGTTAGTCAGACGTAGAGTATGGAGATTTGTTTCTAATTTCTTTCAAAAAGGCCTGTTATTTGCGTTTGCTACATGATTAAAGATAATTGTTGCTAAATATTCATGAGGATAAAGTTGAATGTAACATGTTATCGATTATGTATCATGTTGAGACTAGAATGGGAATCTGTGGTCAAAAAGCAAGTTTGAAGCAAATTTACCATTTGTGTGCAGCCACAATCAATCATACTCTTTTGTCAAGGTACAAACATAAATGTGTAAGTATCAGAGATTATGATAATGTAATGCTAAACGTCCTGTTCAATGTGGTGTTAAACCCATCTCACTCACTGAATTTGTTTTACATTTATGACATCAGTGACATGAATTTAAGAATGTTGACATTGTTTGGTGCGTACTGTTACATTATCCCCTGCCACAAAGTGGGAGAGACACATTTCTTGTCCGAGCATAATTCGGAAACTGTTTCATATGACTTTATGAAACTTTGCACATGTATCAAACACAAGTTGAACTGGTGCCCTTTCCTGTTTTCCATGGCAGCAATTTGGATTAAACCCAAATACTGGTTGCTTTTATTTCACGAACTTAAAATCTGAATAAGTTGAAGTGTATATTTCTGGATCATATATCCATTATTTTTTCAATGGATACATGTTTACTGAGAAACAAATTGTAATTTATTGTGTCCCATGGCTGTGTATTCTTGTTTCATATGATACTGGCAGCAGCTAGACCGGTCCAGATATTTGGCACATCTTAGTGCTGTTGCTTCAGCTCTCTCAGATGTTATAAAAGGCAATCATGACAAGAAAGAAGTCAATGACAATGTTTTTTTATCATTCCCTCAAACAGTTCAGCTGCAGATAATAATCACATGACAGTTGTAATTCCTCAGATATAGAGCTGAAGGAGTATGCTTCAAGCAGTGATGATATTTATGAGTATGGACACTGAATTGTGATTATGTATTGCACTGCTTCATCTATATTTAGATCTTCCAACTATTAACTACTGGAGTACTTAACAGATGGTTGCCATCGTCACAAAAGGAGTTAAAAGTTAATGTCACATCAATACTATTTCAGCCATATAGCGACAAAACCAAGTTGATATACACAATTTACTCATGAATGCAAAGGTATATTTAAAAACATTTTTTCATACACATTTGGACGTAACAATATCATTTATACAGTTTTAAAACACGGGTTATAGGCCATCAGAAACCAAAGCTAGGCCACCTCACCGGGGATCATGGGGACTTACGGTGCCTCTGCTTCCTGCACGATACCCCAGCAGGATTTATGTCATTAACTAAGCCACTGGTGGTTGTGCTCAATACTAGCCAGTCAGCAATGATGTCAGTTGATTATAGCATCACATCAAATTTAAAAACAGGCAATTAATGATTCACATACATATTTAGATTATTTTTTTTTACAGACCATTTTTTCTTTCAAGTAGTTGATAATGAGGTGCCTGGTCATATAGTACTTTATCATCCAAAACTGGCTCCCACAGGCGATATCGCTTGGATGAGATCAAGCGATATCTACACTGTAGATATCGCTGCAATGAAATTACATCGGGTGAGATTCTCTATGTAACAGTAAGTATGAACTGACATCTGAGATTGTATTTATTTAGACTAGTGAATGCATCCATGTATGGGACCAGTGTGTACGTTGTGATATTTAGATTATCCAACTTATAAATACTGGAGTGATTAAGAGATGGATGCCATTGTCACATAGTACTGTAACAGTAAGTACTATATGTCTTAATAAACATCTGAGATTGTATTTATTTACACAAGTGAATACATCAATGTATGGGACCAGAGTTCAACCTGGTTTTGTCTGATGCAACTCTTTTCACGTCAACATGCATCTGGTGAAATATCATCCTTAAATGGAGCCCCGCAAGTTTTTTCATAACTTTTTGTTTGTGAATGTCCATATATGCAGAATATAATATGTTCAGCATTAAACATTGAGACTACAATTCTGTCTTTCTTGTTTATAGGGCTGATGACCATTGACACATGAGTATCAGCAGTAACTGAAATTTACCAGGAATACCTGTCGTAATCTCTGAAATAGAATTTGTCAAGTAGTGCCTTTTTGAAAAAGGTGTCATAAAATGCCACAAGTTTTTCAACCATAGATTCAATGAAATGGTCATCTCGGGATACAGTAAAATATTTCAAATCCTTCATCGTGTATACAATAAAAATGCACTGTTTTCTACCAGTACAGTAGAGCTGCCCTTGCACTTGAAAGAAATATGGCTTGCTTTTGTCAAGGGTAAGTTTTCCCTCAGATACCTTCAAATAGGGAACAGTTATCTCAGAGATTAGACGGTCTTTAGATGCAAATGGACATTTCACTTCAATGGTAGTATCATCACTGAGAAGTGAATCAGGTGAAGCTGCGAGAAATGGATGAACATCTGACACAAACATGCCACATGGTGAGGTTTTGAAACCACTTGACTTTTCAAAAGCTTTTATTGCCACCTTTTCATATTTTCTGCCATGTCTAAGTGGTGGACTTTGAATGTCCTCGAAAGGCTTAGTCATTGATCTAGCAAGTTTATGAAAATCAGTTTTGTCTGTTGCCAAACAAATTTTCCCAAAATTGGAAGAAGAAATTCTCTGTGTGTGTTCAGTTTTCCATTCCTCGCTCTTTGACTGTTTACGGGTTATTATTTCAAGGTTGGTTTTGTCCATATCTGATATTTCTGATATATTCTGGGATTTCAGGTATTGGTCAGCTAAAGATAACTTAAGATAATCATGATCATGATTAACAGCAAATGGATTTGCTGGAGGAAACATTTGAGCAACTGGAAATGTATTGACACTAGGGTGGTTCAACCAAACATTGCGGAAAAAGTCAGGGTAATTTGGCACTTGGCGATACTGAACTGGTCGTGGGTCAAATATAACATTCAATTCACTGTTGCATAAATCAAGGTCAGTCGCCTTTATGGGACTGCCTTTATAGGGTTTACTTTTATGAAATGTTTGTAATCTTTGAGTACATGTTTCTTCAGTTAAAACATCGCCAGTTGTTGAAAACTTGTGCATAGCATATAACACTGCACAAATATGTTTGCAATGTCCTGATGGACCCTGGCCTGCAGCACACTCACACTGCCCCTCCACAACAGAACCATCGTCATCAATTGCAATATCGACTTTGTAAGTCACATGCTTCTTCATTTCAGCACAGCACTCAGACTTCAGGAAACACATGTTATTAGGTTTTGAATAACGAAAAAATTTCAAAAACCTACTAGTGTACAGATTCTTGGAACTTGAACCAAGTTTCTTCTGAAAAGGCTGTAAGTAATAATTTATAGCTTCATATGCTAAAAAAGGAAGATGACTGTCACCATTTACATCCCTATAAGTTTCAACTAGGGGCAGTGTCATTTCAAACTCAGCTTCAAGTTCTGGCTCTCTCCCAAAATTGCAGTTTCGGTCATAGCTCTCGAGTCTGAAAAACATTTGAAATAAACAACTGTAAAAGAAAAAACCTAATTGAAAAAAATCACTGTAAAATATATGGACTATTAAATTATTTTTGGAGTACACAAATGTCTTAGTTTCCATTTTGTCAAAAAGTACAATTATTTTAAGAACAGATCCCTGTAACTCCAAAGTCAACAAATCAGTATTTCTGTCAGTAAGGAAGCTTAAGCCATCTCTGCATTGTTATCAGTACTAAAACTTGACTTTTGTACAGTAATAATGTCTTTACTTGCACTACAGTAATTGTATATAATTTTTTTTGTTAGAAAACAAACAACATATAATAATACGGATATTAATTTTAACACAAGAATAAGACATTGTGTCACAAAATAAAAATACATGCAGTGAATAAGGATTCTTGATGTGTTTGCCTTCGACCGGAATCGAACCGATGTCTAAAGATTACTCTGTTAGACTACCATTCAAAAGCTTCATTACATCTAATTTTAATATTAGAAATATAAACGCTGTTATGCACATCAAAGTATGGACCCATCATACTGGTGAAGAAATAATAAATGTGTGAACCTTTCACACCTGTGGATGAAATAAAAAATGTGTGAACCTTTCACACTTGAGGATGAAATAAATGTTCTAGGTGCAACGATACAGGGAGGTCACATCACAGTACATAAGGTCACATTTTTATGTCAAATTGTGTTGAAACTTCTTGACTAAATATTTCAGAGCAGGTACAAAAGTAAATTTCTAGTAGTGAATTTGAAATGCTAATTACATCATATTTGCAGTACTTGACTGACACTTGGGTGTCATAAAACAAGTAGTAAGAAACTTAATTTAGCAAGTGTAAAAAAGTACTGTGTATCATGCATGAAAACTTGATGCACCAGTGCACCAATGTATCGTTTCAGCCCTAATAAATGTGTGAACCTTTAAAACTTCTGGCTTAAATAATAGATGTGTGTACCTTTCACACTGAGGAAATAATAAATGTGTGAACCCATCACACTTGCTAAAATGAATAAAACTATATGAAAATCTAAAAGGCACTCACTGTAAAGGACGATGAACTTGATAACCCTCAGCCTTTCTTCAGCCATCGGATGGTGCAGACCTCAAGCAATTTTTAATGTTTTACAAATATTTCAGTACCTACCTCACGCTTTGTTACATCATGTTTTGGCCACAGATGAATCACAATTCCAAATATGTGTATAGCAACGAAGAAAGGGACGGGGGCATTATGATTATTTAAGATACATTTTTCGGGACATGTCATTTATTGGGGGGTGGGGAGATAGGAGAAAATGTTACATGGATTGTGTGGGGGTTGGTGAGTTAAACGCGATGCAGTCCTTAGACCGCTTCCAAGATACTATCTCTGCTTAAATTTACTATGTATATTCGTATTATTGAATGATTGCCCAAATAATTATAGAATCTATAAACCGGAAGTTATCCCAACCGCATGTAAAAGGGTGTAATATTTTGCACACTGCCAGTGAGTCATTAATTCGAAGAATAAATTATTGTGACTGACACTTACCTTCCGTACAAGATCCGTGGTCACCGCTCTTTCCCTCGTCAGTGCATCTCAAAGCGTCCTTAGCAACGGGGGCATGTTGTTTACGTGAACGAAAACTGAAGCACTTATGTTGTCGGCATTATCGCGTCGATGCTTACGTTATTTGTTTAGCGATCTCAGTTGTCTAAACTAAACATATGTTCTACCAATGACCATGATACCAATATTGCACTGTGTAAAGTGACAAAATGGGGAATAGTTACTGTTACATTCTTATAAAATAACTGCTCAGTAAGAAAAGCCGAGAAACAGCAATATCAGAAACTTACCGTTCTATCAGATCGATTTTTCTTCCTGACACTCGAGCACCTCGTGCTTTGAGCTCAGTCTTCAGTTCGGGCAACTTCCAGCTTCCGTAATTCATGATAGAAATAGGCCTTCAAGTACTACCGGCTGTTTACAGAAAAGCAAGTGGGTCAATGTCGACTGAAGTTTATATGTTCCCGCGGATACAACGATGAATGTTGGACCGTAACTACCGCAGCGCCGCCAAGCGGGCAAGGGGGCGCAACTCCAGGAATGTTTGCCATTACAGCGCTTAGAGGATTGTAGTCTATCGTAGAGACCCTGAAACAAATGTATCCAATACAGCCCATGCAAGTCTATAATGTTTGGCAAGTCTTGATTAAAATGAAGTCTCTGGGCTCCGTGGTCTAATGGTATTGCGTCCGCCCGGAGAGCGGAAGTTGCTGGGTTCGATCCCCGGCCGCGTCATACCAAAAGACGTTAAGAGTTGGTACTTATTGTTACCCTGTCTGGCGCTCGGCATTAAGGTGTTAAAACAAGGACTGGTCGGCTCGGAGTCAGTATACTGTGTCTGAGTGGGGTATCATGTTAAACTGCGGCATGGTATCACAGTGGGCTAGCAATATAAATCGGCATCAGTCAGGTCAAGTACAAGCAGACACACACACACACACACACACACACACACACACACACACACACACACACATGTGCATGCACGTCGCTATAAGTGCAAAAATCTTGGATGTGACGTTAAACCCCATTTAACCTCACCTTACCTCTTGATCATGACACGGCTGTTCAAGGAAAGACGACTCGGATGCAGATGGAGGTTTTCAAGATAACGAAAGTGTTCTCTCAATGAAAGCCGCTGACACCGAAAGGTTTTAAAAGCTGTTGTTTGAGTAAATGCCTTATTGGTAGATCTATGCTAGATAACGTTTCTCTCACCAGGCTGACAACACGGTGTCTAGGAAGTCAAACACAAAAGTCACATCTACCCCAAAGATGCTTTGTTTGTTGTTTGTTTAACGCCACACTTATATTTATAGTAATATTCCAGTAATATGATGGCAGTCTCTAAATAATCTGGACCAGACAGTCCAGTGATTGACGTCATGAGCATCGATCTACGCAATTGGGATACGAGGACATACATCAACCAAGTCAGCGAGCCAGACAACCCGTTAGTAGCCTCTTACGATAAGCACAGTCGCCTTTTACGGCAAGCATGGGTCGCTGGAGACCTTTTCTACCCCGAATCTTCACGGGTTCCTCTAAGATGTCTAACATCAGAACGAAAGCTCCTGTACCAGGCACACCTGGTGTTTATCCCGCACTGATCGCAGCCTGGGTGACAGTTCTGTCTTCAGTGACTTGACTGATGATGACGACCTTTGCTGTAAAGTTCGTCCCGGATGACATAGGAGACTGTGTCCGGATTCTGGAGCATCAGGAGAGTAAAAGTTGGGACTCCATATTCCATAAAAGAATGATCGATGTCTGTGACATTTTCTATAAATTAGCTGTTGTTTCACAACCCGAGGATTTCTTACGTATAACTAATCAGCGTACTTCGTACTGTGGATCCTGACAACAAAGAGTTTGACCGACTGGTGTTCCATACATGACATATCAGTGAATCCCACAACGATTGACATGACGTCATTTTCAATGAGTCCGATGTTGACTGGGGGAATGCCCCGGTCATCTGATCAGTGTACATTCAATTTGTAATCTCAGCTCCCTTGGGAACATACAACCAAATCATGGGTCTCGTTATGATATTCTCGTGTGAATTTCTACCCACGGGACGTATCGAACGCTACACGAATTTGTGGTTTTCGTGACATAATGTCTCTAAAGCCTAATTGATCGTGTAGATGTCACAGAACCATCTTACCTTCACGCGCACTACAACACTGGTGCAATCCTCTCTTATGAACGGGGCGGTGAGGTAGCATAGTGGTTAAGCGTTTGCTCATCATGCTGAAGGCCCGGGTTCGATTCCCCCCCCCCCAAAAGCCCATTTCTGCTGTCCCCGCCGTGATATTGCTGGACAATTGCTAAAAGCGGCGTAAAACCATACTCACTCTTGTAAACGTGTGCAGTGAACACGTCTTACCATATTTTACGAGTGCTTCCTTGTGATGTTATATTATATTTGAATGCTGTTTGTTGTTTAACGCCGTCCTCCGCAATATTCCAACTATATGACGGCGCTCTGTCAGTAATCGAGTCTGTACCAGACACGCCAGTGATTGACATCATGAACATCGATCCACGCAACTGACATGCAATCAACCACTGACCACTGGATCCATTTAGACGCCGCTTACGACACGCATAGGTTGCTGGGGACATATTCTATCCAGGAATCCCAACGGGTAAATCATCTCTCAGAAAGAGTAAAATAGACGGGTCATATTGATAGACACGTGGATTATAGACTTTGCGATATGTATGATGTGTGTGCCATTATGCTATCACCTGCATTCATCATCATACTCATCCTCATCAATCCTCCTCCTCATCATCAATCATCATCATCATCATCATCATCACATCATCATCAACCATCATTAACCATCGTCATCATCATGATCATCATCAATCATCATCATCAACAACATCATCACCATCATCATCATCAACCATCATCATCAACCACATCATCATCACCATCATCATCAACCATCATCATCATCAACCATCATCATCATCATCAACCATCATCATCATCACCATCATCATCATCAACCACATCATCATCACCATCATCAACCATCATCATCAACCATCATCATCATCATCAACCATCATCAACCACCATCATCATCATCATCATCAACCACCATCATCATCAACCACCATCAATCATCATCAACCATCATCATTACCATCATCATCATCATCAACCATCATCATCAACCATCATCATCATCATCAACCATCATCATTACCATCATCATCATCATCATCAACCACCATCATCATCAACCACCATCATCATCAACCACCATCAATCATCATCAACCATCATCATCACCATCATCATCATCATCATCAACCACCATCAATCATCATCAACCATCATCATCACCATCATCATCATCATCATCAACCACCATCATCATCAACCACCATCAATCATCATCAACCATCATCATTACCATCATCATCATCATCATCATCATCAACCATCATCATCAACCATCATCATCATCATCAATCAGTTGGCCTATGGTCTGAATGGTTCAAAGACTTTAGTCTTCCTCTCAGTTTGTGATAAATGTGTTATGTAACTTGTGCATCAGCCAATGACGTCTCAGGAAAAGGGTCTGTGGAAACATAACGGCCCTCGTGGTAACTATCAGACACATGTAAATGACTTGAAACAACAGACACGACAAATTTAATAAAATTGCAATTCTTCCTGAAATTCTTTGTTGATGATTCGCTGCAACTGACTGATATTCTTACAACTCATTTGGAAGACAGCTGTTACCGGGTGTTACTGAGTTTTCGATTCCAGGAAATTTCATTTGGAACCGACGTCATAATTGACATTGTAAAATTCAAAAGTTATCAATAATTCAACCATGAATTTACTCGATTCTGATTGGTCAATCAGAGGCTATTAAATCACAATAAACCCCCTCTGATTGAAACAGCTGGTTTGACGGCCGCATCACCGCGGATGTTAATATAATATTCATAGAATAGTACTATTTTCAGTCATTGTCGGTAGGCATATTTAAATAATTATATCTACAATTACAGGTTACAAAATACACAGATGCGGTTACTACAATATTCAAAGGATGTGTGGCAATACATTTCGTGCAGAAAAACACGACAGAAATCAACAAAGGGAATGTATTTACGTTTTGGAGACACCAGAGAGCTTGGAATTTTGGCGCTTTTCGATATACGACTGTGACGTCATATTTTTTGCGTCACAATGAGCGATATGACGTCACAGAGGTGACGCGCGATGTAGAGCGAGAGACTTGCAAAGCTTGCTTTGTTTTCTTTAGGGATGCCCACCTCATGTAAGCTAACCAGGTTGCCGTGCTTATATGCTTTCAATGCCTGTCATATGTTCGAGTGAAGTATAACGGTTTAAACAAACCATATTTTGTTCGGTGATTCCGTAATTCAGATCGATAACCCACTCAAAACACTGAACTCAACCCATGCCGCTTCACTCAGTATATTTGCTAACACAAAGAGTTCGCGTTTTATTTAGTCATGGTAGAATGGAGATAAACATACTGTGTTTTCAATGTAGAGCTAGGTTAACTGGAATACTGTTCAAAATGACCAAACCAAACTCACTCACTCACAAAGGCCGCAAGATTTCGGGGATCCAATCCGATTCAACAAGGTTTATAAACCAGTCAGATTTAAACAGTGTTCACGGACCCCATTATCACGACTATAGCTATCTCGAACTATTGTTTTATCGTACGTTCGAGTTATTCACTTGTGATGTAGATTCTTACGGTGGCCCATAAGGGACATGGAGTCTGTTTTTCAATATTTTGATGTTTAACTTACTTTTATCTTAACCTTTTGCAAATTAACACAATCTGCCATACAATATGTGATAAATCATGTATAAAAACATCCGAAAACATAGAAAATGTACTTTTAAGTAGCTTTTGAGTCGCTGAAATGTGAAGTGAAAATGTCAAAAACTAAAATGGAAATGTCAAAAATACAAAACGAAAATGTCAAAAACTAAAATGAATACACAGAAAACTATTTCCACCGCGGAGGAAATAGTTTTCACCGCGGTGGGAATATTTACACCGATGTAGATTCTACATATAATTTATCAATTATACCTCTCTTTGAAAAGATTACAGTCCAGCATGAACTAATACTGACAGAAACTATGAATGGCGAAGTCAAAACAACGAGTAAACTAATGATCCGTCTTTATTTCATGACCGAATTGTTGAACAAAACTATGACAAAAACTGATTTATTTTTTACTCGTATACTTTGGAATGACGGAGAGTTTATGTGTATTAAATGACTAAGCTGGTTGCAATTGGTCAAATTCAGTGGAATAAACGAAAGAAATGGCCATTCTGGTGAATTTGATCGGTCGTGTCACGAGCTGTATTGATTACATTCGAAACTGAACTCCGTCTTACCGGGCGGTCGGGTAGCCTAGTGGTTAAAGCGTTCGCTCATCACGCCGAAGGCCCGGGTTTGATTCCCCTCATGGTACAATGTCTGAAGCCTATTTCTGATGTCCTTCCCGGTTATATAGATTGAATATTGTTAAAAGCAGCGTAAAACCACGGGCACTCACTAATTAAAACATTGACACCTTCAACCGTATCATCACACGCTCCCACACACACATATTATATAAACGAAATTCTGCGGCTCTCGCTCCACCTATTTGAACAAACCATAGGTTCACGGGTTTAGTGCACTAGTCCGTCAGGCCAAAGGTTCGCGTTTCGATTTTTCATATGGGAAAATTGTGTCCATTCCGTAATTACAAATGAAGCTTGAGGGTTGAGTAAAGCGAATGATTTACCGAGTCAGCCATACGAAATGGGTAAAGGACGTCGGGAGGAATCGGCAGTGATTTCCTTAACCTAGTTGTGTTACCAGATGAACTCATGCATGAGAGAGCTCGTTACAGCTTCTTGTAGCCTGCAGTCGATACTCGAATAGTGCCAATTGCGAAATTCGACACTTGCAAAATTCGACACCCTCTTATGATTACATGAATGATGAAGTTTCAAAGGTGTGTTCCATCAATGATTCAGATGCCGCATCCGCAGATGACCCAGTTCCCCCGTCAGCTCCACTTTAAGCAGCAGCAGACTAGAGGACATTGCCTCTGATTAAGCTGTGCTCATGAAGCGCCACTAATGCTTTGGTACCAACATGTTTGTATGTGATTTGTACTGTAAAACAAATTTGGTTAAATTCTTTTCGAAAGTTTACTTCCTTACCGGATCCGCTAAACGTCACGTTGGGTTCGAATCCCTGACGCTCGATCGTGATTTTGGTCTGTCAGAACAACAGGTGAGGTGAGGTGAAATTGGGTTTAACGTCGCGTTCATGATTATTTTTTTATAGCGACGTGCATGCACGTGTGTGTATGTGTGTGGCTGCTTGTACCAGTCCGGACTGATGCTGATTTATAGTGCTAGCTCACTGAGATACCATGCCGCAGTTTAACATGAATACCTCAGAGACACAGTATACTGACTCCGAACCGACCAGTCCTTGTTTTAGTCCTTTAATGCCGAGCGCCAGACAGGGTAACAACAAGTACCATCTTTTAACGTATTTTGGTATGACGCGGCCGGGGATCGAACCCCGGACCTTCCGCTCTCCGGGCGGACGCTCTACCACTAGACCACAAACAAACAAATAAACTACACGCTGTACTAAGGATGGGAATATACGTTGATTTCCAAACCAGAGTGAAACCACCTCACTATGTCAAGATGGCTGGTTTCCCTCTGTCCTCTAGTGGTGAACATAATATGAAAATAAGTGATGACACCAGGTGCCGCCCCGGTACTGCACCCGAACCAAATCCATTCATTTAGGAAGCTAACCTTGCATATGCTGCTCATATTTGATGCCAATCGGATGAAATAATTGCTCTTTGAATAATGGAGAAATAGACGGTCAGTGTTAAACATACTCGTTCTGACATTTTTTACAGAGCAACACTTTTCTGAATATGAAACGTGCCGAATATAACGCAGAGAAAAAAGGACGCCCAATACTAAAAAAAAATATAGCCGAAGTATGCCGCAATTGATCTTTTCAATGGTACACATGTCTGGATGTGTTGTCCTAGCACTTGTCAATGATGCTAGCTCATTTTGTCTTTTAGATCGTTACACGGTGCTACTCCGACTGCTGAAGGAGGCTGTGGGTAAATACTACTTTGCATGCGCAGTAAAAGGTTTCCAGCTGACAACGTTGCATCGCACAACAAGGGACCTTCATTGAACCGCTTCCTTGATTCAGTATGGTGTCATTACGAAGGAACATGCCAACATTAAAAAGTCGAAGGCCGCGGGTTGCTTACTGATTTAGAAACAACGTGTGCTCTAGAGTTCGAAAAACACGGTCACCACAGGAATGATAGTAATCTAAGCACACTTTAGATTTGCTTATCCCGTGCAAGTCACGCAACTAATGATTGAGGAGTCATACAATACCAGTGTGGGTTGCTTTTCTTATTCGAAATAGAGTGAGTGAGTGAGTATGGTTTTACGCCGCTTTTAGCAATATTCCAGCAATATCACGGCGGGGGACAGCAGAAATGGGCTTCACACATTGTACCCATGTCGGGAATCGAACCCGGGTCTTCGGCGTGACGAGCGAACGCTTTAACCACTAGGCTACCCAACCGCCCCTATTCGAAATATAACAAGATAACTTTGATCCAGAGGATCAACGTGGCGCAAAGAAATTTTGTAGCATACCTACCTATTGATGCAAGTACCTTTTCTGTCATAAAGTGCACTTGTGTAACCAAGAAGATTACAGATGTGGTACCTTCAGAATCAGGAATGAGAATATGACACATTTCAGGTACCTTGCCTTTCGCATCTTAGCTGCAAGCAGGCGAGGAGCGCAAGCGCTCGAGGGCAGGTAAACCAGTCTAGTGCAGAGCGCGCACCCCTCTTATGATTGTGCCGAATAACACAAACATCTTTAGTGTAATTAGGAACGTTTTAAAAAAATGTTTTCATAATTATTTTAGTATTACATATGTACGCAGATCATTGTACATATGTGAGACCAAAGACGTTTATACAATACGTCTTCGGTGAGGCAAAGATAAAGTTTCTTTTAAAAGTTTCTTTACATCTTTCCAAATAATACCCCCCCCCCCGGAACTTTCTCAAACCCAAAACAAATAAAGCATGGCGCCTGGCGCCGTGAATTAACAGCCATCAGTTTGATATACATACACATTGGATGTATAGGAAGTAAAACCTTAGGTTTGTTTGTTGTTTTACGCCGCACTCAGCAATATCCTAGCTATACGTCGGCGGTCTGATAATAATGTTGAGTCTGGTTCAGACAATCAAGTGATTAACATCATGAGTATCCTTCTGGGATAGGATGACATGCATCAACCAAGACAGCGAGCCTGACTACCCGATCCCGTTAGTCGTCCCTCATGACAAGCATAGTCGCCTCTTACTGCAAGCATGGGTTGCTGAAGACATATTCTTAACCTTTGGTCAATTTCGTGTAGAATGGCATCGTTGGTCATCGCTATATGTGAACCGCTTTCCTTTTGGTCAAGTCGCCCAAAGGGAACCGCTTTCCTATTGTTGTATAACTGCTATACAAGCAAACACGAGTCCTATCAACTTTCACAGAGAGCACATTTTAATATACAGTATAAACTTGCCCGATATTTTGATGAACGTTTCTAAACCCGCACCCTAAAGCAACCCCATCGCCACTAGCTACTCTGCTCAGACGTATATTATTCGGTACAAATGTTCAAATAGTAATAATAACAACAGTTACACTAACATTTCTATAGTTTTAAATTCCACGCATGTCGGTATTCTCATGAGGCTATAATATCAATGGATCAGCGCACACTCGAATTTCATTCTCAGCTCCCAGGGGAGTATACTAAAAATACCTGCATCTAATTTGTTCTTTGCTGACCAACTTTATTTTTTCTCTGCAACGGCACAATGAGTTAACTCCACGTTTCTATCGAATCCAAAGACATTAAAGATTTATACAAGATATAATCGGTCTCCTCAAAGAATGGCCTGGTTGTAATTAGATATTATTGAGTAATAATTACCCTCCTCCAAGTCGACTCTTGTAACACGCTTTTTCTTCAGATTTCCTGAGTATCTATAAGATAAACCCTATTAACCACACACCTTACCGAATCAAGCAGGTGACCATGGCAACATTCAATCGATATTTCTCTGCTTGGAAATCTTTGATGGTATAGGCGGAAGCCGCGTGCCGCAGTGCAACATGGTATAGTCGTCTGCTCCGTACAAATCTTCAATGGTGCGACTGCCACTTGTCCAGTCTCGCTGTATCAATCTAAGGTAAGACCTGCCTTTAGTGTTTCGTATTTATATCTGACATCGATCAAGTACTGCTGTATGGTCAGCATACCTTTACTGAAGCGCACATCGGAGTTGACCAACGATGTCCGCTTGCAAATCGATGATTCTCCGTTCACAGCTGAATTGGGCGCAGTGTTGATATGGGCTGTTCGGCTCTGTTACGATGCGCCAGGCTACAGAGGAACCCATGGAACTGTTACTCTGGGTAGTTGATCGCCCAAGTCTGCTGCCAACATTGATTTCTTAGGGGAAGGGAGAAGGGAGGGGCAGGGCTTTGTGGGGATGAGGTCTTCGCAGTGGGAGTGCTCGTCAGTGGTCGTATTGTTGAACACGCATTCCTAACCTCGGTCAGGGTGTTCACACTTTGTTCCGTTGTCTTGGACTATTACTGATGGTGACAACGGACCTATTACACACTGACATTTGAAAATTGTCTAATGTTAATATGCTGACTCGAATGGTCATTTATAACGCGACGGTTGTATAATGTAGACGTGCCTAGGATAATTGTCAATGTATTTCCATATGTGGACGATGACGATATATTTTGAATAATCGCCGTGTTAAAATCATTAACTGTCGAACAACTAAATTATGCTAGGGGTACAAAAGTACTATTTCTCACAAACCCATAATGGCTACCTAATCAATGCCAATACATGTTAAGATTAAATGCATTTATCTTGTAAATATATATTTTTAATATAAAAACTAAAACTAAAATGTGAGCAGTGACTCCATATAAATAAGTCAAAAGACAAGATGATCTAAGTTGCAATAGGTTAAGAGAGATAGGCATACCTCTTCATATGACCAGATTGTCGTACGGACAATTTGTTCCAGAAAGTAATATTTAATAGTCGGTCCGTATAACAGTTACCGGCGTATGGATAATCAGATATCCAGAGTTAAGCACCTTATTCTCCACATGGCTTTCCGCTTCCTGACATGAACGTATTTCCTTCAATAAATGATAAACGTCATACACCTACCATGAAATCAGCACACAAGATATGCCTACCCTTTAAGTTCTGATGTGGATATGATCACTCCACCATTTATGGGCCTGCTCTTCCGATTGTCATACCCATCATTCGCCATTAGCTAATCGTGAAGCTACCATTAGCACTACACTACTGTTGAACCAACATCAACACTACATTACCACCTGTGTAACTACCATCAACAATACACTACCACCTCTGTAACTTCCATTAACACTACACTCCCACCTGTGTTACTACAATCAACACTACACTACCACCTGTGTAACTACCATCAACACTACACTTCCACCTGTGTAACTTCCATCAACACTACACTACCACCTGTGTAACTACCATCAACACTACATTACCACCTGTGTAACTACCATCAACACTACACTACCACCTGTGTAACTACCATCAACACTACACTACCACCTGTGTAACTACCATCAACACTACATTACCACCTGTGTAACTACCATCAACACTACACTACCACCTGTGTAACTACCATCAACACTACACTACCACCTGTGTAACTACCATCAACACTACACTACCACCTGTGTAACTACCATCAACACTACACTACCACCTGTGTAACCAACATCAACACTACACTACCACCTGTGTAACTACCATCAACACTACACTACCACCTGTGTAACTACCATCAACACTACACTACCACCTGTGTAACCAACATCAACACTACACTACCACCTGTGTAACTTCCATCAACACTACACTACCACCTGTGTAACTACCATCAACACTACACTTCCACCTGTGTAACTTCCATCAACACTACACTACCACCTGTGTAACTTCCATCAACACTACACTACCACCTGTGTAACTACCATCAACACTACATTACCACCTGTGTAGTTACCATCATCACTACACTCCCACCTGTGTAACTACCATCATCACTACACTCCCACCTGTGTAACTACCATCAACACTACACTACCACCTGTGTAACTACCATCAACACTACATTTCCACCTGTGTAACTACCATCATCACTACACTACCACCTGTGTAACTACCATCATCACTACACTACCACCTGTGTAACTTCCATCAACACTACACTACCACCTGTGTAACTTCCATCAACACTACACTACCACCTGTGTAGCTACCATTAGCATCACAACACTAACTCTACAATACCACCATAACCACCTTAGTTCGAAGGTAGCTACCATTTCCACCACTATGACCACCAAGACGACCATTAGTTTTTCTAGCAGGTCCACTACTATAACACATACTATTATTACCGCCCTATACCGAAAACGACTTCTTCTACCACAATGACTCCGTTTGCTGCTATTGCTTTTTTAAGTAGTACAAACGTTACTTTGCTCAAGGTGCATACTGAGAGTACCCTCACCTGGGAGCTGGGAGTGAGTTGTGTTGAATCCAGCTTTGAGCAATGTTTCAGTTATATGATGACGTGTCAGCCTGATGTGGGAGGTAAGTCTCAAGTAATGAAAGCCTTAAATGTTTGCCACTTTGGTGAAATCCACGAACAAGGAATGGTGCTGACAAACATACACAGGGTGAATCTGGCACTCGAACCTACAATCATAGGTTCATGGCACGACTAAGGGACACAACCCTGCACATCAAACTGCGGCGTTCTAGACAGTGGACAGTGCAACCAGTCGCATTTATATTTTATTTGTTCATCTTGACCATGTGATATTAATTATATTTCTAGCGTGTCACAATACGTGTCAAAACATCAATATGCTATCTATCCGTACTCTTTTTGTATATTCACACAGTGCAGTATGCCAGCATCAGAAGTATCCATACATTCCTATTTCTACCGGGTACCCATATGACAGCAAATGTCATTTGGTAAGGGCGATAACTGTATTCGTATTGTTAAATTATAGTTAACAATGCTAGATATGTGAGACGATTGAGAACATGCGAAATACCAATGCACCCATTTACCATTTGGAGAATCGAACTCGGACGCCATGCTTGTTATGTGCCATTGTCCCTCCACGGCGATACTTGCCGTCCTGTTTCTAATAATGTCCTTTCCTGTCATTCCTTAGTAAATAGTGCCAGCCGAAAGGCCATAATCGATCTAGTTTGTAGAACGTGAATTTTCCAACAAAATCCAATCAAGGTAGATTATGAAACGAGGACTTTTATCCAAAACCTCAGTTTTGAGGTATTACCCAAGTACACATAAGCGTTACAGTGGAATAAAAAGAGTAGCTGATGATTATTCTCTCGCTAATGCCTTTACTAAATACAATCAGGCAAAAAGGTATCGGAAAGTAGATTATGTTCAAATAACGATTAAAAGAGCCACCACAGGTCAATGCAACGTTAAATGTTAAAGGGGAGTTTTAATCCTTGATTGAATAAAATGGTAAAGAGGAGCCATGTGATCTCATGACCTACGTCATACCAGCTCATTATTAACAGTTTTTCGCTTTTAATTATTAAAGAAAATATAATTTTTAACCCAGATTTGTTTAGTTTCGTTCCATTGTAAGGGCCTTATTGCGTTCCTATCCAAAACAACCAACAACCGCAAAGCATCTGTTAGCCTACCTAATTACAATTTTTGCTCAATCCCCGTCACGAAAACGGTTAACAGTACTATAGGGGAATGTGACGTCATTTGACGCTGGTCTATTATTCTCCGCGGATGTCCCAATCAAGCGTTTGATGTACCGCCGTGTTCCAACCTAGCAGCCTTTCTCCTCAGATTGAAGGTCTTGTCCCTGAAGCCGTTAATGGCTATAATCACAAGTTGCAGGTTTCATCTTTTCCGAAATGTCGAACAGGTCAACAAGATCTGGCCATGAAATTGCTTTCAATCAAATCAAATTACGGAAAAGAGCATTTTTTCTCATCCTTGATAGAGGCCACGTACGAATTAGGGTCAAGCTTGTATGGGTTCTGTAACGAAGGTTTCCGTCTTGCATGTTCATGGCTCCGTGTTGGCTCTGTGTTGGCTCCGTGTTGGCTCTGTGTTGGCTCCGTGTTGGCTCCGTGTTGGCTCTGTGTTGGCTCCGTGTTGGCTCTGTGTTGGCTCTGTGTTGGCTCCGCGTTGGCTCCGTGTTGGCTCCGTGTTGGCTCCCGATTTCTTATTCATGTACATTACAGTGACGCTGTAGGAATAAAGTCATGTGTTTCCATCGGAAATACTCCTTGACGGTACATCGATGCCATTGTTACCCGAAAGTTAGAGACTGAATATTTTTGTTGTTGCCTATGAAGCACTGCGTTTTGTTACTGTGGCAATATCCCAGCAACATCGCGGCGGGCAACACCAGAAACGGGCTTCACACATTATACCCTTGTGGTGTGTCCGCGTGACGAGTGGACGCTTTAACCACAAGACCACCCCACTGCACTTCCCACACTCTTGAATCCACTGATGATGCAGATGCGAGCTTATAAAATGCTAACGCTAATTCAGCACAATTTTAACACATTGCACCTCTGTGCAAACCCGAGACTCAACCCTAGACAGCTTAACGACCGATCTTCTAAACTGTTATAGATCTCCGCACTGCCCCCACTGACGACACCGCATCAAATTTCCTAACGTCCACTCGCGACCGGCTGTTATAAGCACGGTGCGTACCATAACCCCCGACAACTGAGATTATCACTGTAGCACTGCCTTTTCCTCGCTACCACCAATATTTTTTTTTGCCATAGGTGCTGCGACAGCTTTAATATGAGATCTTAAATCTTGAAAAAAGCAGGGATGTCTCATGCATTGCTAGCGCCACCTATATGTGACATGGCCATATCCTTGGTCTGTTATACCCGGCCAGATTATGGATTACCGCGTGACGTATGGTAGAATATCAGACACTGACGGGAAGCGTGAATCAATAATGTGACAGCTTTAAAAGTAGTCTGCCTCGTCGACTAATTTTGACTGCGACCCAAGAGTACTGAATGTGGAGTACAAGACTGGTTGTGTGTGTGTGT